GAATGAATGATCGAATGAATGATTGAATGAATGAGTGAATGTCTGAATGATTGAATAAATGAATAAATGAAAAAACGAATAAACAAACAAACGAATGAATGAATGAATGAATGAATGATGAAGAAATTGCTGTCTAAAAAAGAAAAATTCATTAACACGCAGGTAACATAAGTTTCGCTTATTAAAAGCTTTTCGCAAAAAAACGAATTTATTTCTTCACTCATCATCATCGTCATCATCATCATTATCATCATCGTCATCATCATCATCATAATCATCATTGTCATCATCATCCTCTTCTTCCTCAATATCATCATTTTCTCCTTCTTCTTCTTCTTTTTCTTCTATTTTTCTTCATCATCATCATCATCATCATCGATGCTATTACAATCACCAGTCCATTGTTGAAGTCATTATTATTTTTCCATCATAGAAACTATCATGACGTCATCATCACTCTCATCATAACTACCGTCAATGTCATTGCCATTAACGACACCGGAAACAGATTAATGACATCTTCGTCGTTGTCATCATCATCCTCATCAACTCCTTCATTGAAATTACTATCATCAATTTCATCAATAACATCATTGTCCTCCCAATCAGCATCCCCAAAACGATGATGATGATTATCATCATCATTATCACAATTACAAACATCATCATCATCACTACTGACACTGTTATCAGGATCGTCAGGATGTTTACGTGACGTGACGTCTATAATAAACGGCGCATGCGCTCTTAAGGAAAGTTGTGAAGTGGCTGTACCCGGGTTCAAACTCGTGAGAAGGTCCAAATGCCCCAAGGACCTTGTGGAGTACCTCAGAGTCACTTACTCCTGCATTCAAGGTTACTGTCCACATCATCGTCATCATCGTTGTGACATCATCGTGACATCATCATGACATCATTGTGACATCATTGTGATAACGTTGTAACCTCATCATCATGACATCATCATGACATCATCGTGACATCATTGTGATATCGTTATAACCTCATCATGACATCATCATGACATCATCATGACATCATTGTGATAACGTTGTAACCTCATCATGACATCATCGTGACATCATTGTGACATCGTTGTATCCTCATCATGACATCATCGTGACATCGTTGTAACCTCATCATGACATCATCCTCATAACATTATCCTAATATCAATTTCTTTATCTTCAGAGATTTAACGTCACCTATAAATTTTTAATCATCGCCATTGTCCTCATCAGTTCACTCATCTTCATCGCCATCATCATCATCAGTTTCATCATATTACCGTCATTATTTTTGTTATCATTTTTGTTATCTCGTTGTTGTTATCATTCCATGCTCGTCCTAATCCCACTGTTGCAACCATCTTCTCTGCTGACGTTCTAAAGTTACTGATGTTAATCATCATTTTCTAAAAGAAAACCAGTAGTCCTGTTATCACCATCGTCATCAGCATCACCATCATCACTATCGCCATCACTATCATCATCATCATCGTCGTCATCATAACTATTGTCAATATCGTTACACGTACCGGAAAGAGATCTTCGATATCTCAATGATTTTATCGCCCTATCGGTCTCCGTGCTTATTTGCTATCTTTGGTTCGTGACGCCACAGAACCCAAGACATAAAAGTTTATCATTTTTAATGCCCTTCCATACTTTTTTATTATTGCTCTATATTTAATTTTTTTGTCGTTGCGCTATTGCATTATGGCTCGTGAGGTAGTAATGAAGATTGTAGAGAAGATGATGATGGTGACGATGATGAAGACGACGACGACGATGAGGATGGCGAGGATAGCGATGGCGATGAGGATGAATAAGAGAGAGTTGTTTATAAAGTTAGCTACGGGGATTTTTGATTCAATGACTTAATCTGATTAATTGTTTAAGATATTTGCACGCATGTCACGGCAAAAATTATCGGCTTTGTAGATTAGGTAGCAATTCGTTTGGTGTTTAGCAATTTTCTTCTGGAGTCCTTCGTTTAAAGACATTTGTCTGATACTAATTTACTAATTTCTTATAAAATATATTATTATTATTATTATAAATTAATGATTTACTATTTTATTATTTTTGTTTTTCATAGTTTCCATTTCTTTATAGAAACTGTTTATTAACAATCGTTTGGTAAAGATTTAAAATAATTTCAATTAAATAACTAATAATAATATAATTTTACATTAAATAAAAATCAACATAGACTGACTGAATAATAAAGAAATAAAACTCAAAAATACATAGATACACGTACACACATACACATACATAGTTATATGCATACATGTGCATACATACATACATACATACATACATACATACATACATACATACATACATACATACATACATACATACATACATACATACATACATACATACATACATACATACATACATACATACATACATACATACATACATACATACATACATACATACATACATACATACATACATACATACATACATACATGCATACATACATACATACATACATACATACATACATACATACATACATACCTTGATTATATAGATTATGTGACGCCCATTCTGAATAGCCTCCACTGGCTAACAGTGAAGAAACGAATTTTTTACCAAATATGTGTCATTATGTACAAGGCCATAAACGGACAACTCACAGAATACCTGGCTGATAGATTCATAAAGAAGCCGCTGTCTTCAACGGGCAGACGCATGCGATCAGATGACGTCAATTTGTTGATTGTACCAACTAC